ACTTCCCTTCATTCCCTTTCACTGTGCTGTCTTCTGCCCTCTGGTCAAGCATCAGACAGTGGATAGCATTTCCTTTACTTTGTAATCTCCTACAAGCATGAAGAACATGTGTAAGCCTTCAGATTACTTCTATAGTCTGAACATTCTTACTGTTCTTGGCTCTTCCACAAAGACAAATCCCTCTATTCCTTGAGATTCTTTGTGGCCCTTCACTAACATTTTTCCATTCACTAATGTTTTTCCTGTACATGAGATCACTTGCTCTCAAGTGTCCTGGTGGCCTGGTCACTGCACTTGGTTCATGTGTGTCTTCTACGCAGAGGCACAAAGTTGGGCACTGTCATGTCTTTACTTCACAGGCAGTTAAACATCACACGGTTGCTCCCTCCCTACCTCCCCTGCAGTGGGATGAGGAAGAAAACTGGGGAAAAATAAAAGAGATAAAATTCATGGATTGAGTAACCACCTCATTTGTGAGTTCTTCCTTTTCCTCCTCCACTTTCAGCAGCTTCCTCTCTTCCTCCTTTTGTTCTTGTAATGGCCCTGCTTTGGAGTAGTCTGCATTGTCCACTTCTTCCTCCTGTTCACTCCTAGAAGAAGCTCCTTCATCCCTTACTAAAAGACTTGACTTCTACTTCCAATATTTCTTCTTGCGTATAGGGGCAACTGTTATTAGTACAGGTTGGTTCTTCGGTTCACATGCAGTGTCTGTCACTGGGGCTGGGATAGCCGAAGTGCCTGTCATTTTGTTGTCAGATACAAAGACCTTCTCTTCTCCTTGACGTTACTGAATAGTGTTGAACAGGGCTTGCTAGGCCTGAGCCAGGCCCCAGCACATTGCAGCCATTTGTTTCTCTCTGGAATTACCAGGGCAATAGCATCCTTTTCCCAAATATTTTACTAATTTTTCAGGATTCTGCACTTGTTCAGGAGTGAAATTCCAAAATGTTAGAGATGCCCTCTGTCTTAGGCACTTGTCCATACTATCACACACATCCTGCCACTCATAACTGTTCAGCCTCAGGGCAGATATCTGACTGGTATTCTTAAATAATTGTTTGAGCCTAAACAAGGCCTGAAATACAATCAGGAGATCTAACAATAGGAACATACCGGTTTGAACATCCTGACAATATTCAGTTCTCAAGAGCTATTGTAATTAGCCTGAAGGATAAGGGGAAGATGGAGGAAGGTGTCTGCCCCATAGGTTGGCTCTCCGGGGAGGAAAGGTAAAGGATGTAATTAGGAATAGTTTCCAATAGATGGCTCTAGAAGTACAGAGAAAACAGCAATACTTGATTACAAATACCAGATTAGTCTCACAACCATCGATTTTATCATATCATAAGCCAGTGTTACAAAGTATGACAACATGATAACCTTAACCCAGTCCCCAAAGGTGATAAACAGCAAAACAGGGAACATATACAGCAAGTAAGATGCTACATAAGGCAACTCTGAGAACAGACTCAACACCTCTGAAAGCAAATAAATCAACATTGGGACCAGCTACTATTAAACTAAATGATGAATGCTTACAACAAATTTGTTTTAACATACTCTGGTCAGATTTGTCATTATCTAAACCCTTTGAGCCCCATGCTGGGCACCAAAAAGAGCTGTCATGGTTTAACCCAGCAGGCAGTTGAACACCACACAGCCGGTCACACGCTCCATCCTGCGCAAGAGATGGGAGAGACAACTGGAAGCAAAAGGAAAATTTGTGGGTTGAGAAAAACAGGACAGAAAAGGAAGGGGGAAATGTCAATAATAATAACAGAATTAGAACATACAAAACAAGTGATGTACAACATAATTTTTCTACACTTGCTGAATGATGCCTAGACAGCCATTTTCCAAGCAGTGGCCCCCAGCCATCTTTCCCCCGAGTTTATACACTGAACATGATATGACATGGTATGGAATATTCACCTCTCTCAGCTGTGCCTCCTAGCTTCTTGTGCCCCCAGTCTCCTCACTGGTGATGTGGTGTCAGAAGCTGAAAAGTCCTTGACTTAGCGTAAACTTTGCTTAGCAACAACTATAACATCAGTGTGTTTTCAACATTATTCACACTCTAAATCCAAAACATAGCTATTAGGAAGAAAATTAACTCTCTCCCAGACAAAATGTATTTATAACAGGTATACTACTCTAAATGCCATCTATCAGATAATGAGGAAGGTCACAGAATACTTTCCCTCAATCCAGAGGCCTTGATGCTGTCAGAGAAGCCTGGGATGCTGTCATCTACTATGCTGCCCAGGTTTGATGCAAGCTTCCCACAGCCTCCAGAGGACAAGGAAACCTCACCAAAGGACCCTGTGTCTAGGCAAGGGGAAGGAAAAGTGTTGGAGAATGCGGGCATCGATCCCGCTGCCTCTCACATGCTAAGCGAGCGCTCTACCACTTGAGCTAATTCCCCACCCTGCAGCTGTACCTCGGGTTGTCTCCTCTCCCAGGTACCCACCTTTGATTTGGGATGCCCTGCACCCAAAGCCTGGGCCTCCTATAGGCATTGCTCTCACACTACCACCCACTTGCCCTTGACTTTCTTGCTGAAGGTGCCCCCTTACAAGACAAATCTTAGGACCACTATCCCCTGCCCAGGGCTCACCCTGGGCAGCCTTTGCTGGTTGTTTTCTTTTGCAAAAGGAATGTCCCAAAACTTGGACAGCCATTTGAAGAGGAGCCACTGGGCAGGGCCAAAAGTCAGCAGTGCAGCAGTGTCTGGAGCCAGAGCCAAAAGGACACTCCTTCGAGCCGGAGTTGAACCAGCGACCTAAGGATGGCCGTGTAAGGGAGCCTACAGTCCTCCGCTCTACCAGCTGAGCTATCGAAGGAAGCACAGGGCCATGACCACTACCTCACCCATCACACACTCATCCAGCACTTCCACAGCCATGGCACACCATCA